TTCACAATTTTGACCTTTTATCACCGAGTAAAATTAACATTTTTTAATTAAAATAATTTTTTAATATTTTGTACAAAAAACAGTGTATTTTTGTTTAAAAATATGAATACAGATTCCTGGGCTAAATTCATTCTCGAACGTAAACGGTGAAGAAGGAATGCTGGCGGGTCTAACATAGTAGTCGCGCTTTTGGGCTGTAATATACGTTAAGGAGACAGAGGTCCTATTACTTATGGTCTTCTAATATATAGTCCAAGAACTGGTAAAAACAGGTATCCGAATTTATTTTTAATGATGAATAAAAATTTTGAATTTTAATATTATCTTACACAAGACCTAATGGAATTGGATGTGGCCGGTAATGTATCGGGCATCCAACTGAAAAGATTATAATTGACTTATGACTCTAGTTGATTTAATTGATGGACAGGCGTGCCTTCGATAAATTAGACGTTAACAGTTATTAACGGAGGATGAACAAATCCCGAGGCATTAACAGCTAATGAGTAATTATTCTTTTGAAAAAGCCACAGAGTGTCTTAATCCTGTTTCAAAGGGAGTGAGATACATAAGACACAATTAATTACAAACAAGCTAATTCATAGAATTTGTGTCCCCCGCTGAGGGAAAAAGTCAGACTGAATTTGTAGAATTATTAAATGTATACTGAAGCAAATAAAATTCATGTATGTCAATATGCATAAAGATTTGATTGCTTATTTTTTATTATGTGTATAGAAGATTATTTTATATGGAATATTTATCACACTGTGATGATGATTTTATGAGTTTGTACAAGCCAGACCTCATAAATTTTTCATTTCACATGCTGAATACTATCATTTAGTAAACAAAATGTTTCGGAAAAAAAATGGTTCGTCCGGGATTCGAACCTAGTACCTCTCACATGTGAAGCGAGAGACATCTTTTTTTCTCTTTTTGAAGCGAGATACATACCACTAGACCACGGAATTGCTTTTCTCTTGCGTAAATTATATTCAAAGATGAAGTCACATACATGTATATATATATATTTACATTCGATATTGTAAAAAATTTACACAATGCATAGTGTCTAATTCAACCTTTATTAAACAGATCTAATAGATGTAATATGAATATAAAGTCCGCCGAAAACCTGTTTTATAAGTGATAACTTTCCTCATGCCCCTGTGCTAAAAATAGCGACATGTAATGCAACTAAAGGTACTGTGAGCAATGAGCTCACTAAATGATATCCCCGCCTCCCATATAATTAAAATGGCAGTGTCCATGTTTTGCTCTGGAAAATCCAAAATATATGTCAGATCAAAAAGTAAAATAGGCGGTGCACACTGGCAATATGTAGTAAAGATTCTGTGAATGTTTCATTAAATTTCCTTCAGTGGTATGAGAGGAGTTGCGGATAAGAGATGGGTACCCCAAAGCGTAATAGACGGACGGACGGACAGCTAGACGGACGGACGGCAGAAATACCGATTACTATATACCCTCCCGCTTTTGAAAGGGGGGGGGGGTAAAATAAATACTAATAAAACAAACGGGACGGGACACTTTGAGAAGGGTGAGATAGGTCCTAGGGAGTTTTGGTATAAATTACATTGCAAAGCTCAAAATGTTACACACATAATGATAATATGCAAGATATTTATGTCTACATGCAAGAGAAATAAAAAATAAAGATCTTCAGTTGAAAACTAGACATTGCACTGTCCATGGCAACATCCATATCGTGTACAGAACGCCTAGTTTGGATCGTTATAATAGATTATTTATGGAAAGCCACAGGGGACCCCCAAGTCATGTTCTATATATTCATAGTAATTCAATCTTGGGCGGTCATGTTTACAATCCCGGCCAAGTCATGATCGGCCACACGGGACCCCCAAGTCATGTTCTATATATTCATAGTAATTCAATCTTGGGCGGTCATGTTCTATATATGCATAGTAATTCAATCTTGGGCGGTCATGATCTATATATTCATTGCAATTCAATCTTGGGCGGTCATGTTCTATATATTCATAGTAATTCAATCTTGGGCAGTCGTGTTTACAATCCCGGCCAAGTCATGATCGGCCACACGGGACCCCCAAGTCATGTTCTATATATTCATAGTAATTCAATCGGTCATGTTATGATCGCAACTCTGACCAAGTCAGGTTTGGTTTGATAGCATAACATGGCCTTCTTATCTTTGCCGAATTATGGTGAAAACGGTACCTGGTGAAAACGGCACCTAGTGAAAACGGCACTTGGATTATGCAAAACGGCACTTGGTCAAAACGGCACTTAGTGAAAACGGCACTTGGTCAAAATGGCACTTATAGAAAAAAGTATAATTATATGCAATGATAATTTGATATATAGATTAATAAATATTTGTGTGAGTATATATACATGTAAACATATATAATTTTTGTTTTCTGGGAGGGTCCATTTTTTTTCCAAGAAAACAATTCATGTACACACTGAAATAAGTTTTTATGAAATCTATGTGATCTTATATAAAATTAAATTATGTGTGAACCTATGCATATACATACTTTTCTCCACAGATTCATACATTTAAATACCAAATTTGAAATGATTTTTTTTCATTTTACATGTTTTATTCCTTGAAATATCAGTATTTTCATCTTTTAGTCTCCTTTTTTAAATTAATGAAATAACAGCATAGTTTTTAAATATAACATTATTTTCAAAAACAAGATTATAAACAATAACAGCAACATTTTATCATCTAAATAAATTATTATTTGTAACAATTAAATACCAACATTGTTTCATTTTAATATTTAATCAATATAATTAAATAGAAATAAATTAATATTCTTCAGTTATAAAAAATAACCAACAAACAAATGTTTTTGTACAGGTTTCATATTGTGAAAAAAAACTTATAGTAAATGTTGTATGGCTATTCAGATTCTATGTACAGTTTAGAGAGGAAAATCTAAGTTTCGATCCCTTTGACATATTGTCCAGAAATACACAATAGTAACTGTATATGATTGCAAATTGACGATCAACAGATTATTGAGGGGGAGGTGTGAAAAAGTCTTTTGTTTCTTATTCCTACAAGTGTATTCTAAGTAAACATACTCTAACTGGCTTCTAATTAATCAACTGTGACTGCATGGCAACCCCCAAAACAGAGTAGTATACATATTTGTAATACTATAAATTTTTAAATTTCAAAGGATCGTAATTATTTAATATTATTGGATTTAATCTCTTTTGTAGAAAATATTAGACATATAATTTAAAGAAGAAACACATTTTAAAAAATCTAACCACTGTACAAAAGTACAATAATTTTCCAATGAATTAGTCTATTTTTCCCCCTAAAATATTTTTTAAACATTTTTATCAATAATGATATACACATTTATTACTATAAATGTAATATAAAGATCCATTTTCTGTATAAACAATATCAAATTCTCAAAATTAAAAAGTGCCGTTTTGACTTTTCTGAAGTGCCGTTTTGACTACTCTCAAGTGCCGTTTTGCATATTTACTAAGTGCCGTTTTCACCAGGTGCCGTTTTGACTTGTACCCTCTTTGCCGGTCATGATTTTGACAACCCTGGCCTAGTCAACATATATCCCATGTTTTACATCTTGACTAGGCCATGATTTTCTATCCTAAGATTGCATTGGCCAAGATACATTACTTCCAAATGCAGTCAAGATTTACTTCCCAAGATTTCAAAAGACAAAGACTAATTTCCCAAGATTTCAAAAGATCAGGATTTACATCCCAAGATTTGAAAAGATATAGATCCAGAATCGGCCAAGATTTAAAAAGACCAAGAATCGACCAGCGCTACCGTGAGTACACAATGAATAATTTTTATTTTATTTAGATTGTTTTCCTTTCTCATTAAAACTGTAGCGAGTCTCAATTTATTGAGGAGTGAAACTGAAACCCTCACGAAAGAGTAAATGTCATTACTGAACTTGATTTCTTTTAGATTCTAGTTCTACTAATTATTCCTACAGCTTTATTAACATATAACTGTCAGATAATCATTTATTGTAATTGTTTTCATTTTTCCATAAATGGAAGCAATTATATTAACGAGGAAACTCAAGTAAATTTATCTCAATAGTAGGATAGTACGGATCCAGTAAAATTAGAACAACCTGAAGTAGGTTTTTGAAAATACATTTGTGCAATTTTGCATTTAAAGGAAGAAAAAAAAAATCCCAAGAAATTGCAAGGTCGTTTACTTTGTAGTTTTAAAATTACAACACAAAACACAGATAGTTGCATGAAACATTGCAGCTTTTAGGCAGTTTGAAGCAAAGCATGCATTTATATTCAGGCGCGGATCCAGGATTTGGAGTTAGGGGGGGCACCAAAATTAGGCAAGGGGTCTGGGGCCGCCTTGAGGCCCCCAGTGGTACCAGGGCAAAGCCTTGGTGGGGGCCCAGGGGGCGAAGCCCCCTGAAGCTCCTGGATTCTAGAGATTTTGAAGGGTGAAAATGAGGTCCACCAAGTTGACATATTTGATTTGCGCTAACTTTGACAATTTTAGGGGGGCGCGCGCCGGGTGCGCCCCCCTTAAATCCGCCACTGCTATTGTTAGAGTAAATGGGAGTCCGGTCAAGTCATACACAGACCAACTCGTATACAGGTCAACTCGTATACAAAAATGTCCATATAAACAACGTATACAAAAAATTCCTGGTATGCTAAAGAGTCAGCTCGTATACAAAAATTTCATATGCATATATATAATCAAGTACAATTTATGTCAAATATTAAACATGATAATTAATATATATAGGCCTATCGATAACGTTAACAAATATTCTTACAACAGATGATACCATTTAAGAAAAGATTAAGTTATATAATATTTTACAGCAAAAGATGACAAAAAATTCCTGGTATGCTAAAGAGTCAGCTCGTATACAAAAATTTCATATGCATATATATAATCAAGTACAATTTATGTCAAATATTAAACATGATAATTAATATATATAGGCCTATCGATAACGTTAACAAATATTCTTACAACAGATGATACCATTTAAGAAAAGATTAAGTTATATAATATTTTACAGCAAAAGATGACTTTCATTGTCTAAAACAGTGATAAGTATCCATTTTCTGTAAATATGATAACAATAATAACAATTAATGCGCGATTTTGTATACGAGTTGACCTGTATACGAGTTGGTCTGTGTACTTCTTGACTGTAAATCAGTAAATGTATACCAGTCCACCTTGTGTCTAATAAGGCATCGATAAGTATGATTACTTCACATTGTGTTGAATTATTAACCATCAATTATCATAGTAGTATGATTAGGTAGGTTAATAAAGCTATATAGGTAATTAAAGGTACCTAGCAATATCTAGTGATTGTACTGGATCTGTTATTATAAGCATTGATTGTCATTATATTATGACCTCTTTTTATATACAGTTCATTATATATTTTCTTTTTTTAGAATCATGTTTTGCATTGAATGTGGGGTGGTTTTAGGCCCCACAAACAAGTTTTGTGGTTCGTGTGGCGCCCCAGTCTGTGTCGAGAGGAAAGGTAATAACGATAGTGTAATATTATTATTAATTTAATAATATGTTTTATTATATGATTGAATAATTTCCATCTCTCTGATTGGCTTAGATCCAACTATGTTAGAAAAATATTACGTTGTATTGACCTGCACGTGACGTTCCAGGTCAATACAAGGATTTATTTCCTCTACATTGATCTAAAAATAGATTTGGGAATTCCAAATTGATACAAATTGTTTTAAAAAGCTATTTAAACAACAATGATTTGTATTTTCATGTGAACAAAACATAAGCGAATATATATTTTTGGTAAGGGTGGTAATTAAGAGGGTATGCAGGGAAGCCCCCCCCCCTCCAACACTTTTGCTGAACAATATTTTTTTTTTTTACTTTTTGGCAGTCAGTTTTCCCTGATAATACTTCTTCCTTTCAAAATCTATCCTATAAAAAGACTGACATTATGATTATATATTTCTTTTATGTCTTCTAAAATTGATTAAAAAAAAAAATTCAAATTGATATGTCTGGTAAGGTTTATTAACGTTTTAATTCTGCTACTCTCTTGTATTTGGAAACAAGTAATGAGCTGTATCATTTTATCAATTATCAGTGAATCATACAATGAAACAATTATTGCTGTTTTTTTTTCGGTCAATACAATGATTTAGCCATCTTCGAAGTACAATATTCACCTCGCCCTTTGGGCTCGGTGAATATTGTACTCCTCAGATGGCTAAATCATTGTATTGACCTCAAAAACCAGCAATAATTGTATAAGAGATGCATTATACTGTAGGTCAATGAAAAATAAAGTACATATTAGATAATATACTTGTCTTGTACATAACCCACTTTGTAACTTATTGTTAATTAATGTATATTGCAGTAACAAAAGAACCTGACACAGCCAAACCAGGGCCATCAAAATGTAAGTTTGATATTAAATAAATATTACTGAAACTTACATATATCGGTTATAATATGGTCAAAGGAATACTGCAGATGTACATGAGATACAAAAGTACAATGTGCTAAAATACTAATTATAAATGAATATATGCATAACCTAGTAAATATTTCCAAATTGGTGACCTTTTATTTGTTTCAAAGTATGTGTTTGAATAGCTTACCTATAGATATTTTGATATGCTACTTTGTTTATACTTAATACAGCTTTTGATGAGTCAGCAAGATGCTTCTCGCCAAATGGTAAGTACAGATGATATCGGTGTATGATTCAAAATTACAAAACTTTTTTCTTGGAAGAATAATTATTTAGAAATTGTATTTGTTTAATGACAGCACATCTTACATATATATGTTTTACTTAAGCAGGTAAAATCTTCATTATAATCCTTTTTCTTTAGGAAGTCCATCTTTGCAAAAGAAAAGAGAAGGTACAGTAAATTATATGTTATTGGTAAATTATGAGATAGAAGTCACATTATGATGCCAGTGCTGTATGTTCATAAACAATGCAAATTGTTATTAGAGAAAATCTGGAGACATATAGAATAGATGTGAATAATTTAATTACATGTATTTCTAAAAGAACTATGTAGATGCTAAGTTTAGACTCTTGCCTTCAGTTTACATTTTAAGCTCACCTGAACCAAAGGTTCAAGTCAGCTTTTCTGATCACCTGTTGTCCATCAGTCATTTATTTGTCAGTATGTGAACTTTCTATATTTTTTACATCTTCTCATGTTGTCCTCAACCTAAGTCATACTTAAATCAAAGATGCAATAAAGGGCAATGTTCTATTTTTTCTTCTTCAGAGGTACAGTCCAAACTAGACTTTCTGAAAGCAAAGTTTTTGGACAGTAAAAAAAAGATGTCCAAGAAAAGACTAGGTGGACACCTGCACACTAAATCTTCAGGGTTGGAGGTAAGAAATAAGGCATCATTGAATCCAACTTAAATGTGTGTAGATATTTTATGAACTATTTTGTCTTTGTTTGATCAGATTTTTATAATAGGCTATCAGTACTGTATGTAGGAAACAAAATATGTTTAAAAGGTGTAATGCACAACACTGGTCCTTCAGGCCAATGGTATATATTTATCTTCAGGTCAATTTTGGTGTATATTTGATCAGAGCTGAATCCCGTCAATTTTATAAAATCTTACTCCATGGAACATTTTTGCAAGGGCTGGATAAAATATAAAATGTGCTGATTTCATGCATGAAGGCCTGCATTTTTAGCTATTTAGTAATCATAGCATATTTCTTTTTTACATGTATACTGTGCATGATTGTTCTATTAAAAAGGGATATTTTATTTATTTTTAATTACCTGGGTAATTGAAATGCACTAACTACTAATCTTTTAATTCCATTAATAGATTTTGGAAGTCCGTTTTCTGGACAACCTTGGAAAGAGGCTGCAGAGGGTGATAAATGGCAGCTCGTCATTATTACTGGAAGTGGAATCTTCCAGTACCGTCCCGGAGTGGATGGCTCTCTTAAGTGCAAAGTTCAAGACACAGATTCCTATGGAAGCGATGGTATTTAAAGAGCACAAATTCATTGCACTCAAAGATACGACAAGCGTAGAAGATTTAAAGAACCAATCGAAGGGAAAGAGGAAACATTTTGGTTTTTTTGTTCAAGTGCATGCCTGTAAGTAATTGTAATTGATTTCTATAAGAAAAGAAGAATGTGTTAAATACATGTGTGTGGGTGTGTGGGTGTACGTGTGTGTTAATATATATAAAACTTCAGTGTGTGATATAACATATGATAGTGCAGGGATTTGCTTGAAAGAAATTGTGCTTTTTGAAATATATGCATGTTTTAAGTTACGGTATACATGTAATGTTGCACATTATAAAATTAATGCTGTGTAATACATTTTTTAAAATACATTAGTTGAAATCATTGTAATGCTGTTATAAACTGAATTACAGCTCGGAAAAAAATTGTTAACAATCTTATCACAGTAAGGATAATTTTGTACTGTTGGTTACATATAAAGTTAAATTGCTTTTGTTCAGGATTTGATTTCTTTCCCTTTATATTATTTTTATATTTTCATTACCAACCAAGTTCATAGCTGGGTTAAATTGTTAACATTGCCGTTTGCATGTATTTCTTAAATGAACCAGAATCAGCTACTTTTTAATACAAAGATAAGTTTATGTAATTTTGCAGTTACTGTGAAGGTAACAAGTAATTGTTATAGTTGACAGGAATCATGAAGCTACAGATTGATTTATAAATATTTTACAATACTAAATTGTTAGAACATTTATAAAAAATTAGTGCCACAGAATCATGAAAACAATTTGAAAATGGGTCTTGATTAAAGAAAATATGCAAGAAAAGCTTAAATGAGTTTGATAAACCATAAAGAAAAAGTATAGAAAATAAATTAGGAAGGAATGACTGACAAACCATGATAAACTTAAAGAATATAGAATATTTCCTGCTATCCCCTTTTAACTCTGCAATTCCATGGATGTACCTTTGATCATGATGATTAGTCCCAAATGTAATTAAGAAACAGAAGATATTTAAAGCAGGTATGCAGGATAAGCAAACATAGAAGCAAATGAAAATAGTTCCAAATTAACAATTTCATTTCTGCTGACTTTCTTTATTTGTTTGGAAGTACTATTTGCATGAATTAAGATTTTTATTTACAGTTTGGATTGTTTGCAAATGTAGAAAATGTGGAAATGAAAAGCTGTGCAGAAGAAAAATAGTTTTTTTTTTTAAACCAATCTTGACACAGAGTAATAAAAAAAGGGTCAATGAAAGTGAAAACAAATACTAAAAGAGGGAAATCACCTTGTTAGGACACATCTGCTGAAGTCATGTAAAAGTATTAATGAATGATGAATATATATGTGAAAAAAAAAGACTGTTCACACCAGCTGTTCAATTCCACATACTAATGAAGGTTCTATTGATTCTTCCATGATACATTCTTAAGCGAAACTGCTAATTAGGGCCCCGCAAGGATTTGCGGGTGCCCTATAGTAATCACTCTGTCCGTCCGTCTGTCTGTCTGTCCGTCTGTCACTCTTCCGTCCACAAATTTTATATTTGGGGTGGTGGGGTAGATTCCTTAACTATGCATAAGAATGAATGGGCAACTTTTTTTATGGTTGCCCAATTAAGATCAAATTTGGTACGGTAGTTCAGTAGGCAGAAATACATATTTTGATGCTGAGTTTGGTTCTCCATGTCCCTTGGTTTGGAGCTGGGGTGGTGGGATTTAACTTTATATAAGAATGCATTTGCAAAGAGAGATAACTGCTGAAGATGTTCCCATTCATTTAACTGAATGCTGCTAGGACTCCCATGGGATTAATTAGTTTTCCTCCTGAAGAAAATCCAGAGCATTATCTTTATCTGTCACATTGAGATTAATTACCACCTCAGTCTGCAAATAAAGTTTGTTTTGAAGTTAAATCAATTTGGAATGCTATGAACACTCTGAAATGTGGATTTAAATATAAATTTTTATTATTTATTTTTGTTTGATAGTTATGTTTTCATTGAATTCTAAAAAAAAAAAAGAAATAGATTAAAGAAGATTTTTTGATTTTCAAGGGTACTTTTTTCACTTTTTTCACTTTTTTTTTGAATATATTAATTCAAGAATATTTTTTATTTTTAATGTATTTGTATAAAAACCCCATTCTATCATTAATACTGAAAAAGTTCTTATTGTAAATTTAGAAGAAAATGATGAGAGAGGTACAATTAATCCGTTGGGATTAATTATCTAGCCTTCTGCATAAAATTTAGCAGGCTTTTCTTTATCTGTCACTTTAAGATTAATGAAAACCTTTGTCTGCAACTGCTGTTTGTTTGAAGTTAAGGTCAAGACTTCATGATTTTTGCATTCATTGAAGGCTGGCATTTTATATAACACAAGATTCATAATTGTTTAAATATACATTCAATGTTAAGTTGTTCTTTACTGCCTAATGTAAATACAAGGATATTATTTTCAGGTTTTTGAATATTCAGGAATTATCTTGAAATTTTAAGAATACAGTTGCTGTTGCTTTTTCTTTGTACATTTATTAATCATTCTGCAAGCTGCACCCTATTAATTCTACCCCATGGTGGGGCCCTTGCTGACTGGTCAGTTTTCTAGTTTTTTTAAGCAGTAAAACAGATCAATTTATATGTATCTCTAAAAAAATCAATTAGAGATTGCCTATTATAGTGTGTATTGTATACCTTCTTTTGCAAAGTGTGATTGAAACTGAAAAATCAAAAGTGTGAAACAATTAAGTAACACCCTTTCAATGATAAACTAGCAAATACACTGTAGTAACTGTTTCATCATAAATTGTATTTATGTTACATAGGGTTGAATTTCAGAGTGATTATCTGATCAATTTTATAGCACATTTGATATTAAAGATCTTTCAATTACTTAATCATTAAATATGTTCTGTTAAACTTAATTATCATTTAACCTTGTAAAGTTTTACATACCTATAATATACATGTAATTGTTATATACTTAAGGGTTATCTTTTTATTTTAAAGGAGAAGACCACTTCAGCTAATGAATCCCCAGTAAGTACTCTTTAATTGTAAAAATAGAAAAATTGCAAAGTTTCACTAGATGAAAAACATTTGAAAGGATATCTGAATTACCAGTTAAACAAGATAAATAAGGTTTTAAAAATTCTGTTCCGATGAAAAGTCATCCGGATACTGAAGCATCCGGATATCTGAAGGTCCACTGTATACAGATTTCATGATCAGTCACAATCAGTCACATGCTCATTAGAATGCTTCAAATGGTGCATATTTGTTTTTTTTTTTTTAAAGGATCAAAGCAGTGAATCAGATAATGGAAGCAGCGTGAATGTAGGTAGCTGTTTGAACAATACAGTATCAAAAGAACAGTTTTACAGTAATGCTTGGTTATACCGAAGTCTCAGGGAGCTATGAAATTGCATCGTTTTATCAGCAAACCGTTACATGTATCTCCATATACAGTCTGTACATGATATAAGCCTAAGGAATGCGTTTAATTTATATATCTGGGGATCAAACATAACTTCTCTGTATCTGTGAATTCGCTATAATCCGTGTTCCTACTAAACGAGTTTTGCTATATACAGTTTTATCTCAGATAACCACACAACATATGATTGATCCATACATTCCATACATCTAAATGGTTGCCAGATCTGTATAGTTTCGGTGCAACACAAACCAATTACTTTTACAATAACTGATTTTTTTTCCTTTTTTTCTAACAGAAGCCAAATAGTCAGCTCATAGTACTCTCTAAAGAGGAGTTTGAAGAACCTGCAAGTTGAGCACAAGTCATCTAAGGAAGTCTTAAAGAATATTGATCATTCATATGCAGGTAGCTGCATTAAAATTACTTTCTTATATTCAAATATTATTTTACAAAAAATGTAATTTATAGAAATTATTATTCTTATAGAAAAAGAAACGACAGAAAGGCCCCCAAACCAGCACGCCTGTCTCTTCACCTTCAACGGTATTTTGATATTTTAATCTTGAACAGTTTTCTTGGTACATCAACCAATATTTTAAAATACCCAGATTACAGTTTTATTAGCTCACCTGAGCGGAAAGCTCAAGTTGGCTTTTCTGATCACCCATTGTTTGTCGCTAGACAATCTGCCTGTCTGTCTATAAACCTTTCAAATTGAACCAAACTTGGTCCAAAGCCTTCTTGGCTAAAGGAAAATTTAAGTTGTTAAAATGAATGGCCATGTTACAAGTTGAGAAAATTAAGAAAAGACAAAATGGGGTGGGGTCATTAATGATTAAAAATGTTTTTCTCAAAAACCACTGGGTCACAAAAGTTGTAATGTATTTGAAAGCATCCGAACATTCATATTATTGATTCAAAATTGTTCAAATCATTACCCCCGGGGTTGGGACGGAGCAACAGTAGATATTACAAAGTGCAAATCTGGTAAAGTTACTCAGGTCTGAGATGTGGCCAATGGGCCTTTTGTTTTAACTGCACCGATAAACAAATTTAGATGATGGCTGGTGGTTATTAGGAAACGGGCAAGCGATCAATATATACATGTACATGCATTATTGTAAAATGCATTGCATGTTCAGTGTTTTTAGGCCTTAGACCTTGTCAAATTGTTACATTTGGCGAACAGTGCAAGTTTAAATCTGATAAGAATTTACAATTTCAGGTTGATGTTTAATTTTGTATTTTAAAATAGGTACTTGTAGCATCTATAGACGATGAGTTACCCAGCCTTCAATCTCCTTTCAAGGTAACAAAGTGTTTCATACATACATTATATAATTCATATTAAAGTTATGTTCAATTAGACAATGTCAGGTTTTAATTGTGTTTGTTTTATTGCATTGTGACTGGTTTAATTTATAGATTTTTAGCCCTTCTGAGCCAAAGGCTCAAAGAGCTAATCCTATGGCCATTTGTGTGGTGTGCGTCGTGCGGTGTGTATTAACTTTTTAGAATATTGGCCATAACTCAAGAACCCCTTGGCCAATTATTGTCGAATTTGTCACATGGTATCCTTGGCCCAAGGGCTACCATTTATACTAAAACTAGGGGTGAGACCCTAAAACAGGGGGAGATAATCAGGAAAATAAGACCAAAAGTACTGATTGCTAAAAAATCTTCTTCTCCAGAACCACCAGGCAGATTTTCACCAAACTTACATACAAGGGTCTGAATACTGTAAATTGTTTTAATTCCACGTTGTTAAAATTTCACGATCTTTCAAAAAGTTCCAGTTGCGATGGTTTTAAATTCAAGCTGCAAAAACATCAATTCAAATTTTCATATAAGCATTCAAACGTTTGTAAAATTAATAATAGCATTCACGATCAGCTTAATTTAACGGAAAAAAGATAAATCGCAAACATAGCGATATTAAAACCATCGCGGTTATTTGCCAATATACAGTATGTTGAAGATTAGAAATTGTTCAAGTCATGACCCTGGGGCAAAGGGCGTGGTCTCAAGGTCACTTAAGAGTTGACCAAAATTTACACTTATTAAAAGTGTTGATATTTTACTTACTATAAAGACTAGGATCATCAATTCTTGTAAGTTGATGCATCTCAGGACTTAACATCATGTTAATGCAAAAGAAGGTCACCATGACCTTCTTATAGAATTTTGTGGTTACATTTCAATATCTTCAGCCCTTACTGGCTAAGAATCATCAAACTTTGTCAGTTGATGCATCTTGGGTCTGAGGATAGATTATATGATTTATCAGAAGAGCGATTCAAGGCCCTTGGGCCTCTTGTATGTGATCCTTATTGATTTCCCTTGGTACTAAGAAAATTGCAAATGAGTAGATATTTTTTTCAATTAAAAAGACTTTTAGAAATATATAGAAAATAAATTTCATTCACAGATCTGCTGTACAAATACTTAATGAATGATGTACATGTACTTTCACCGAGAGTTATCAAATTACTCCTTTGTTTACAGAGAGAAAAGAGAACATCCAGCCCTGGACAGTCTTTAGTAAGATTGCAAAACTCAGTCTCACTAAATTTGTTTTGGTTTAACAGCCTTCACCCAACGCAATCCCCATAGTTTGAGTCAATTTTCAAGCAATTGTTTTTAGCTCACCTGAGCTGAAAGCTCAAGTGAGCTTTTTCAGCTCAAGTGAGCTTTTCTGATCACATTTTGTTCGGCGTCCATCTGTCTGTCTGTCCGTCTGTCTGTAACCCTTCACATTTTCGACTTCTTCTCAAGAATCGCTGGGCCAATTTCAACCAAACTTGCCACAAAGTATCCTTGGGTGAAGAAGAATCAAGTTTGTTCAAATGAAGGGCCACGCCCTCATTCAAGGGGATAATTGGGAATTAATGAAAATTTGGTGGCATATTTTACAAATCTTCTTCTCAAGAACCACTGTGCCAGGAAAGGTGAAACTTATGGGGAAACATCCTCAGGTAGTGTAGATTCAAGTTTATTCAAATCATGACCCCCTGGGGTAGGCGGGGTCAAAATGGCCAACCAAAGTTTTTAAAGATATATATAGGAAAATTCTTAAAAAATCATTTTCTAAAAATTAGCAAATCAATGATTGGTCATGGGACTACTTTTGGATTTTAACTTTACAATAAAAAGCCATTTTCTACTTCCTACCATTAGTGCTCAGGTGAGCGATGTGGCCCATGGGCCTCTTGTTTTTTTTTTTTTTTTCATTTATTTTATCTGAAAGTGTCAATAGTGTGACTCTGGGGTTTGAAGTACTAGAGCTGTGATATAGGGAGCTATAGATACCTTGTGTTATTATTATGTTATGGGTTAAAGATTTAAAAAATGAAAGAAGTGCTTGTGAGTATCATTCAATAAATTCTAAAACATTTACACTCATTTATGGTTTACAACAACAGCATATCACTGATATCCATCTTTGTAAAACATTAGGAAGATGTACAGGTACATTGTACTAATAGATTTGGGAAATTATATTTTATATTAATAAAAATTGACTTAATGTAGGTCAATGGCACCCTCAGTAGATATACTCCATGTATCTTCTGTCAATAACTGTCATCATGGGTCATTATAAATGCTTATTGACCTACATTGAGTTCAGTATTTGTATAATAATGTTTCTACTTGCAGATGAAGGAAGACAATGAAGAGCTGCCAGATATTCCTTTACCTATGACCTCAAAGGTACATGTATGTGTGTGTAGGTGACATTGTACATTTATTGACTGTCTTCTCTGGCAACATTTGTTCTGTTGGACCCAATAACAAAGTTGTTTGCCTGAGGCAATTTGGTTCCGATGGAGGGTTGACGAAACACATTCTGCTCGAGAACACAGTCAATAAATCTTTTTGTTTCCTTCTTAGCTCACCTGAGCCGAAGGCTCAAGTGAGCTTTTCTGATCACATTTTGTCCGTCCGTCCGTCTGTCTGTCTAGCTGTCAGTCTGTAAACTTTTCACATTTTCGGCTTCTCAAGAACCAATGGGACAATTTTAACTAAACTTGGTACAAAGCATCCTTGGGTGAAGGGGAATTTAAATTGTTCAAATCAAGGATTAAGTCCTCTTACAAAGGAGAGATAATCAAGAAAAGACAATAATAGGGTTGAGTCATTAAAAATCTTCTCAAGTACCACTGGGCCAAAAAGATGAAACGTATGTGGAAGCATTGTTGGGAACTGTAGATATTAATCATGACCCCGGTGGGTAGGGCGGGGTCACAATAGGGAATCCAAGTCTTACATAGATATGTTTAGAACAAATCTTTAAATATCTTCTGCTCGAGAACCACTGGGCCAGAAAAGCTGAAACTTATGTGGAAGCATCGTTGAGTATTGTAGATATTAAATTGTTAAAATCATGACCCCCGGGGGTAGGGCGAGGTCATAATAGGGAAATCAAGTTTGACATAGATATATTTAGTAAAAATCTTTTAAGAATCTTCTTCTAAAAAATCCCTGGGCCAGGAAAGCTGAAACTTATGTGGAAGCATCCTGGGGTAGTGTTGATTCTAAAGTATTAAAATCGTAAAGGGAAGGGGGTAGGGGCGCACGATAGTTATAGCAAGAGGGGAAATCTGGTAAAGAATTGCAACACCCAAAATACTGAGGTGAGCGATATGGCCCATGGGCTTTTTGATTTTTTTGACAAATCTTGGAGTAAATTTTGTTTACCCGCACTTCAGTTCTGTTGAACTCCAATAAGATATTCTGGTAGTTGATTCCCCCACTCTGTGATGTAAGCGGTCCAACAACTCATCAAAAGTCCGAACATCTCACTCTCTGGTCATGCATTGATTTTTTTTTATCCACTCATTAAATTATAGGAAATTATAGCTTATTTACGTATACAGTTGTAAAGGACAATTTTAAAGGTATAACAACATGTGATTTAATACATGTTTAATGTAATGTAATGCTGGATTTATTTGACAATTAAGGACACAGATGAAACAACACATACAGACGATTGGACATCAGATATTGAAAATAAGGTAATGATTTCTGGCAGGTTTAATATTTGCTTATTTTAAAGACATGGACTTAAACTGTATAATATATTGTGGTTATTTATTGTTAATGTATATTCATCTATACAGATGGATGAAGATGATGTATTGAAAGACTTTGAGGAGGTATGTATTGGTTACTATTCAGATACTCTGTGTGTGTGAGGGTGTTTGTTAGTGAGGTTATGGGTATCCATAGACAAACATTCACAAACTACCTAGAAAAATGTAATACACATGTAATTGAACTCATCCGCCCCTGCCTAAGGTTGAACTCTAGATATACATGTAACTTAGTTAAGGAATGAAAAGAGGACGGAGAGTCTCAATAGTTTTGGATAATTTCTTTTTATTGATAAGTACACTTTAACGTGCAAAATATACATGGAGCTCTATATTATTGTTAAACAAAATGCTTTTTTAGTACATTGTATTGTAATAAACAATAAAAGTAAGTTGTTTGGATCAATATTCATCATTAGAATTTTATTTACTGGAAGGGTCTGGGTACATCTAATGATAAACTACAAATTGTGTTGTCAGCCAGACTGTAAAATATTGATCTCACAACTTATGAGCCACACCACAAACTAGGCAAGTCAGATCACAATGAAGATTAGATGTAGACATCTTCAAAATACATGTACATGTAGTTTATTTTTGTTCACTACTGTAAATCACTTTTTATTCGCGAGAACTTTATTTTCGCATAATTACGCGAGACAGTGTGCTCGCAAAACTTAAATTCTCGCGTATAATAGTATTCCTTAAGATTATATAGAGCAATAACCAAAATTGGTGAAAATTTTGTCTAACTTATCAAGAGTCAATGACTATCTCGCGAAAATAAGGTGTCGTGAAAATTTAGTGATCTACAGTACTGTATGTGATATAAAAAGCTTTTGGATGCCTTGTCTAGAAATGAATTTTGACACACAATTACACACCTTCACACACTCAATGTAAAAAAATTTGGCCTTGATCTTTGACCTCAAAATAACTAGTGCCTTCTTTAGGCCATGGGAAGCAGTTCTGTAAAATGACATTTTTTGAACATTCTTTGTGATTCCATCCCTCTTCATTGTGTTAAGATAAATTATGTTAGAAAATGCCAGTTTTTTTATAACCATATGAATGCTTGGTGAGCTAACATGAACATTTATGAAATCCTTGTGGTAAATGTTTTCTGTCATTTAAAATTTTCCACTTAGATTTTGTTTTTATATGTTTAATACAGATGATGCAGAAAAAGAGAGACAGACAGTCGGTAAGCATAGTTGTCTCACATTGCAAGAGAACTCAATTACATGAATTTGCCATGTTGTATTTAATCATGAGAATGTGAAATTGTGAGAACCGACCATTTTTTTTTAATACATGAACATGTAATTTCATGATAATTTACAAATGGCAGAAAAATTATTTCAAGACTAAAATCTATGAGGGGTACTTGTGGCATTTTTATGTTGATAATAATTCCTCACAATTAAATAGGAATCCACAGTATAGAAGTTACTAACATGCTATGTGAACAAAGCTTGTGTGAGATATCTTAATTGAATCCCCCAAGTACCTAAGCAGGTTAGAAAAATTAAGTCATATATGAAATACTTTTATTGTATTAATTTGTACCCGTAAAAAGCACACAAGAGTTTTCTTCTCACAGAATTAACCCACTTTATCCTTAGTTTGTTGTAAAATGTTCCATTTAAAAAAAAACTGTTAAATTCCATTTAGAATTTCTTGCCCAAGATCAAACCCAAGACAAATGGCAAAGAAAAAATATCATTAAACCACACTGAGTCTTCTACACTTAAAAAAAACCCTGCAACACACTCTCTCTACCCCTTTTTATATATTTTAGGTTAGTCATAAAAGGAGACTTACTCTTATCGAGGTTGTTGTAAATTTGATAAAAGAAAAGGATGAAAATAGTAGTATAATTAATCCCCTGGGATAAATTAACTTGCTTGCTGCAGAAAATTTAGAGGCTTAATATCTTAATCTGCCACATGAAAATTTATGAACATCTTTGTCTGCAACCAATGTTTGTTTTGAAGTTGATGTCAACCCTGGGTGAAATTTGCATTCATTGCAAGAAAAAAACAAAAAAAAAACTGTGTAAATCTTTTTAATAAAAAACATTTAATGGAGTTATTATGAGACATGACATTTTCACTGTATTATGCAAATACAAGGTCACTATTTACATTTTATTGGAAATTCAAGAATTATCTTAAAATTAAAAAAATACAGCTCTTCCTTAAATTTTCCTATATTTTTTTTTAAGCGAAATTAGGTAAAATTCTTAAGCTGTACCCTTATATTTATACCCCTCAGCAGGGCCCTAATGCTGACGGGTCAGCTTTCTAGTAAATTTTAGTTGAATATACATGTATTTGGAATAAACACTAGGTTTATTTTTTTAGCTCACCTCAACGAAGTTGGGGGGAGCTTATGTGATACCCTCGGCGTCGGCGTCCAGGGTTAAGGTTAAGTTTTTTGGAGCAGTTTTCTTTTTAAGTACTTCTATGTCCTATATTGATTAGACATGCATGGAAGATGTTGCTAGTGTGTTTCATTGTACCAGTCAAAGTTTCAGATGCTGCAATTTCAGCAAAGGAATGACCAGGTTAATGTTTTTGGTGCAGGTTAATATTTTTGGTGCAGTTTTTGGTGTAGGTCTTAGGACTGAAACGATACGCCCCCTCCACGATACGATACGTATTGCAATACTTGTGTCACAATTCAATTTTTTCAATACGATACAATTTAAGAAAGAAACTATTCATAAGGCTAAAGAAAACATATTCAGATTAAAAAAAAGAGTAAAAGGTGATACAATAGAGAGAGATACTACCAGTGGTATGCAATATAATAAAAGTACTTAAGCCCATGGGCTAGTGGCAGCATTACAGTTACTAACCCCAAGTAATTTGAGACTAGCCCAAATATAGGGACAAAAATTAAAATAAAACTAATGTTGAAAAAAATTAATCATAGAAAAAGTCAGGGTACCAAGGTAATTCTTTTTTCAAAATAAAGTTTAATTCTCACTATTAAAATTAAATCTTATAAAATTAATGATTATGATTCGAAAGAAAATAAAAATGAATTTAAAAAAATTATCTGATGATCTTAATTTCCTTTTCTGATCATTTGCACTAGCTAATTTAGAATGAAATTAAATTCCTTTTGTTTTCACATTAAATTATTAAATACACTAGAAATGTATTTTATGTGAATCACAAAACACTGATCTTTCAGTTGATTGGGCGATCGTAAATAATTCAATGAGATATATGCCTTTATTTACAATAAATGGAGGAAATTCGGATTAGAAAAAAACGATCGTTTTTGGAAGTAAATAAGTCAGATAGTAATGCAAATTGGAGAAAATTATTGAGATTTATTGACAGTAGGAGCATGCTGCCTGGAAAATATTCACTGGTTGGGAATTTGATAGCAAAAAATGAGTGAAAATACCGGTTATGCTTTTCATGTATTACATGCGAAGTTATCATTTTTACTAGCCTGAATTTACTAATTTGTTAATTGCACATCTCTGACTACTTGTGGTTCCGTTGATTAAGAGCACTTTATTCATATCATAGCAGTGGCTGCCTGCTCTGAAACGTTGCCGTCCCATTTTTGGAATGAGAGTACCAAATCCCCGGATGAGCACATGGCGTTGTTTGTGGCACAATGTAGAGTCGAGTACTGAATAGGTCGGCATTACCTGATTGGCTGAAATGAGGTATGTAATGTTTTTCATTTTAAAGTAAAAATATTAATATTTGAAATAGATGATGGAATGTAGGAATATTACAGAGAATA